GTCCTTGCTCCTAGTAGCGATGCCCTTTGCTCCTAGTAGCGTCCTTGCTCCTAGTAGTAAGGCCAGGAGCCCCTAGTAGCGTCCTTGCTCCCAGTAGTAAGGCCAGGAGCCCCTAGTAGCGTCCTTGCTCCTAGTAGCGATGCCCTTTGCTCCTAGTAGCGTCCTTGCTCCTAGTAGTAAAGTAAGGCCAGGAGCCCCTAGTAGCGTCCTTGCTCCTAGTACCTCGATGTTTTGCCGGTATTGTCACGAGGATTTCTGCCGCCAGCAATTCCTTTGGACACTCCAATTCTGATGGCATTTCCAGTGTTGCAGGGATGACTGCCGCCAAGCTGCTATTGGCAGATTGTGATAATTGTGGCAGCATGGATGAAGTGTTTTGTTGATTGCTTTGGATGGGCTGGCTATGCTTGGCTGTACTTTGCATCTGGACACCTATGTCGTGCTCCAACCAGTTGCCAGTTCATGCAGACTTATTTCCATGTAATTATGTCCCATTCTCTGTCCTTTTCCCAACCTCAAAATTTGGCAGACCTTGAGCCTACTGAGGTCGTGCATGCATCTGCAGTGGCTTGGCCTAGCAAGTGAAAGCATTAAGCAAGGTTGGAGGCCATCGCTATTAGGGTGGAGGCAATCATTAGTAACGCAAAAGAATATTGTGTTCTATTTGCATTCAACGAGCCAAGCCGAACTAAGCCGACGGATGCCAGCGAGGTCCGGGTGCGAGATGTGCGCTTGGCCTTCCGTGCCTTTAAATCCACGGCATCTGCTGATCGTATCAAAGCCGGGAAGAGCTACAGATCTTGAGCTGAAGAGTTCTCCACATGATTTGAGAATCACGGGGTTTGCACAAGCATCACCCAAAATGACTAAAGTCTTTGCACAACTTGTGCAAAATGTCCAACTGACGGTGGCATAGCACCTTTTTCGCCTGTCACTGTCGTGATTCGTCTTGGTCCTGTAGCTGTGTAATTGTCACCAAGGAGATGTGTTGTTCTATCCAGATGGCACAGGACAGTGGAACAGATCGCAGAATCTAGGTGAGGTGTGTGTTTTGGGTTTGTGTGCATGTGCGAGCACGGTGGCCGAACAGTCCAAGCATTAGTAGGCTTTGCTTGCACAAGCACTGACAAGCACTCTGGCATATCCTTTGATACAGGCTCTCTCATTTACCCATTCCTGATGCTTGGCACAAGTCTGATCTTCTGATGCGAATTCTCTCGCCAAGTATTCTTGGTCTATTCTCACATGTTGAGGGAAATGAATACTGATAGCCAGCTTCCAAAGAGTTCCCACGTTTCTGGGTTTTGAGCGGTTTGTTATAGACTCAAAAGAGGTGAGTAGCAATCCAGACAAGCAGGATCCGACCGTTCTACTGCTCACCATGTTCGTTGATTGAGGCTATACAACCGCAAGAACTCTGCCTATCTCACCTTCGACGGATCACAAGTTCATGCTTGCAGTTCACGTGATAGGCACCGAATCATGCCAACACAAGCACCAGGAGACAACAATTGCCTTGAAACGACCAACTGCCCCGGCCCCTTGCAGTGTTTTGTGGGATAGTCTTTCAAGACAGGCTGCAGCCAAGAATCATCAAGAAGCAGAATTCCTCTCTTGCTCAGTTCTGTTTACTATTGTTTACTGTTATATACTGTTATAATTGTCTTTCACAAACAATTTGGATTTAGACCGTGAGGCCAGGGCAACTCTGGTGGGCCGTGTCCGACAGAGCCTTGCCATATGATTTGTTGAATGCAATGCAAGCAAGTTTTAATCTAACCGAACTTATTCCTTTCACGTGCACGAAAAGCAGAAACGATTCACAAAGACTGGCTGGGGTGCGTTTGCTGCATGAAAGAAAACCAAGCCCCTCCTTTTTGTACTGCACGGTCCCAACAATTTTGACCGACATCCACTCTAGAGCTTCACCATCATACGGTTTCCAAATTCCTTCGCAGCGATTCTGGTCAGCTGTATGACGCTGTATGCCAGTATGCAGAAAGGGGCAGCCAGCCGGCCAGAACAGGTGCTTCTGAGGGATTCATCTTGCAAAATGCAGTGCTCCTGACATGATTGATTGCAATTGATTGCATGGAGACGGAAGTATATTTGCGGCAGTTTGGTGCTTGAAGCCAGTCCCAAGGAAAACTCAAGATGAAAAAAGTGCTGCCAAATTGCCAGGATCACTGGTGTAATTTGCGAGTAGAGGAACCTATGTGGTTTTCTCCTGATCGGAGAAAAGCCGTGAGGCCTAGACCGACTATTCCAAGCACATCGAAGCACTAAATTAACCAAATCAATCATGCGAAGGGTTCTTTTGCAGCCTGGTCTTGCTAGTACTAGCTACGGCCTGCCCCGCCGCGTATTTCAAAACAACAAGTACAGTACCTGGGTGATTCTTCTTTGGATAAGTACCGACTGCAGGTGTACACTCGAAGTTCCTGGACCGACGTGGACAGCCACACCCGGTTTCGAGGCCGAGCACTCGGACAGTTGTTTGCAGCACAGAAACCGCCGAAGCCGAGGAAGGATGCATTGGATTGCGAGACACGAAGCCAGACCCTTTGCATCGTTTGCATTTGCATGCAGTTGCATGCATTTGCCATTCCCAGTTGCAGGTGTGATCTAGAATGTAGTTGAAGGCGCAGAGGTAGCTCAAAGATGTTTGAGCAATAGTTACATCATGTTACATGTGCCTAAATGGCCAATGCCTTGCTTCAAGCAGTCAGCTTAGGCACGGTCAACACCTGTTTTACGATGGTTTCTTTGTTGGTGCCTTCAACGAGGCACCGTTGTTTGTAGCTGCAAAGTACTTGCAGCTGCAGGGAGCTGTCGGGTTGCAATTTGTGCAAAGCATTGTGGCCTAACAGTCCGGGACTGACTCCTTGTGAGCAGGTATGTGATGACCAAGATTGGCAAGTACTTCCTCAGGTGTAACAACCCCAAGTGATCCTTGAGAAGCTTGCATTCCCAGCCTTCCCCAAGTCAACAGTACAGCTTGAGCTTGCCACACTTTAAGGCCGTTCTATATTGGAGGTTTCAAGGAGACCCGCATGTCAGGCACAAATGTCCTTGTGAATGCATGCTGATTGAAATATCTCCTTGCAGAGGCAGAGGCTGGCATAACTAGTGACAGTACTTGCTGACGTGCTCAATTTGTTTCTCCAAAAACAAAGCGCGCAGGCAAAGGCCAATTCTTTTGGCCCAATGGTGCGCCTCTATTCAAGGCATTCCGGCATAACACGGACATGTCCTTGCACCGGGGATGTCCTGAAGCTTGAGACGCCAACAAGAAACACTTTGACATGTGACATGTATCCCTTTCTTGACATTCACAAGACAACAAAACCACATCCAGAGCAGGTAAATCAAAACATGATACAGGTTAATTCAAAGCCCCTGAAATGCTGTCTACATTTGGCTACATTAACTGAAATTGAAATGCATGATATGTTCAAACCTTCCCTCTGATTCTTGAATCAGAATATGTCAGTGAGACCTCAGGAAGCACTTTTGGTCCACCTGGGTCAACAGAAAGCAACAAAGTATTTGCCTTTTGCAATCAATCTTTTTCGCGCAAAGTCAGGGCAGCCTGAAGGGCGGCAAGCTGGTCGATGGCTTTGTTTTTGATGAGCCTCAGAAGGGATTCAGCGCTTCCTTAGCTGTTCTCACGGGCGTGATTTCGATTTCAAAGCGCTATCGATCCCAGACAAAGACATCATGGCTTTGCTCAGCCTGGGTGAGAGAGTATGTGACCTGAATTTAGTGAACTTTACCAAATGTTCACCATCGGCTGGGATTGGACGGCCCATACATACTGTAGCTGCTGAAGAATTTGTTTCGCCAGCGGGGTGGGCTGCGGTCGTGCCCACTGCATTGATGTCTCAGGAACGCTGCATTTGTCACGGACACTTCAGATTCAATGAGGAGGATCAAGTGAATTGCTCGAAGTGACTGAAGCGGCGGCCTGATGAAATATATAATGTCTTTCTGTTGTTGAAATATCTCCTCGATTGCAAATTTGATTTCTTGGCAGCGTTATTCAATTGAGGCGACCTCATTGTTTGACAAAGACTGCAAATTCAATGAAATTAAGATATTATATATGTTATATCTATGGTGCGGACATGCTCGCAGGATGAGCCGGAGCTTGCCGGGTTGCAGCCGGAAGATGCCCCAGAAGGACAGGCGATGACTTGTTTACAGCTTGGCAGATTCGAATGAAATAGATTGTGGTAAGAGCAAAACCCCACAGGAGAGGAGACTTGTCAAGTATGTCAAGAGTCCCCGACGATGGCCACCATGGGGAAAGCTTTGAAGCCGTGCAATCATGCGGCTTGCGCCTGAGGGGGCTTTCATAGCTGTATCAGTGTGGTTGTCCATTCTAGAGGGAACATGACCATCGATATGTGGTGTCCAAATGTCACAAGGTTTTGGCAAGATTCTATCCAGATTTGCGCAGGTCACCTGTGAATCCTGCGCAATGAAGGCCTGATCCTCCCTGCTTCAACAGAAATACATCACGGAGGTTCACGGAGTCTAATTGCATTAAACAATTCTGTGAGGTTGTACGAAAAGAAAAGATATTCCACGACATCACACTTTTGACACTGCGCTACCTCAGCATTTTGTATACATAAAAAAGAGAAAACAAATGCTTTGCCTTCTCTAGGTACGTGAGTGCTCCTTGGCTGATATTGTTTAATATATACTCCCCCAGTGATACTGTCGCTTTGCGGGTCGATTGAGCAAGGTCCGTACTGTCGCTCACCAGTGGAAGGAGTGCATAGAGTGACGTGAGCCTGAAGGCACAAATATTCTTAGTTTGCGGTTGGGAAATCCAAATAATTTTGCAATAATTTGTTGAATAACTATTTTAGAATGGATTTCCCAATCGAAATATGAATTTGAATTGAAGATTCATCGTGTACATAAATGATGAATTCAATTTAGCATTATTGAAGAAAAAATGTCAAAAATATTATGAATATTAAGTCAATATAATTTTATATATTACTATATTATATAAATCAATATATTATTATTTTAGCTTAGATAACCGCATATAATCCGGGGAATTTATTATTTCGTTTTCTTTTTTTTAATTTTTCGTTGCATTTAAATTTCTTGTTTATATTTAGAAATTTGATCGATCTTTTCTTTTTTTGATGAATTAATTGAAGATTCCGATTTTAATTTCGGTAATATTAATTAATATTTGGTTTATGTTGGTTGGATATAAGAATTGATTTATTTATTTCGATTAGGATTTGAATTGGGATGAATAATTTTCTTAATATTTTATTTTTCGTGAAATTTTATGGGATTTGAATTTAGACGGATTTCGATTTAATATATTTAAATAATTATATTCGTATATGCAAACGCAATTTTACATATTGTATTTTTATATATATAAATGAATCTATTTATTTAAAGATATTTCTTGTTATGTTTGATAGGGATGATATTATTAATAGATTTTTTTTGTTGTGGTTATTTATTATTTTGTATTTGTACATAAATAATCAATATAAATTGTATATGAATTGGAAGGTATTTAGATCGTTATAATATATTGAATTTTAAGATTAATAATTATTATGATTATGTTATAATTTGTGGGGAGCGATTTAATAATTATTGATAATTTTTTTTATAGTGTTGATAAATTCGTTTCGATTATGATTATAATTAAAATTGTGATAAATATATTTTATTTTATAATTTTTTTCTTTTTGGTTGGAAATTTTAATTATATTTTAAAAAATCTATCTTTTGCAATTGAAATTGGGATAATAAATACGCCATTTCCTTCCACAAGGATTAAATTGTATTTTAGAACATGATGGAACGATTTGAATTTGTAGTATTGTATTGTTAATCGAAATGGCCGGTCATTTTTATATACGGTTTTTATGTTAACCGCATTGATATTATGTTCGTTCGCCATTGATAGATCCGCCGGAACATCATTCTTTATTTGAACGATTCTTTTGAATGTATTTTTTGGCAATTAAGGTCCACATCATAAATTATTAGGATTTTGTTTGCCTCGATGGTATTCCAAGCCATCTCCACGCCAGATACTTGATTCCATTGATTGATTTCGATTGAGACAGACCTCTTTGATCAATACCGACAATTGGACCCAATTTATCTATGATGCCAGATAAATCATTGCCCGATATGTCAATCACCTTATAGGCTATCCCTCCGTCATTATTATGTGCCGATCGATTGAACATGCCATTCGCTATCTCTGTCTACAGCGATTCCCACGTCAGGTTCATTCGCATGATTCGGCCTCTTCCATTCCCGTCTCCATCTCTAGCCGCATGTGACAGGCACGCCGTGAAACTATAAATATCCATTACAGGACCCTGCCGGCCACTTTCAGGAGCTGGAGATGCATTTATACATATATTCGTCTTCATCGATAAATCAAACAAACCAATAGACAGAATAAGAGAGAATGCCTTGAATAATTCTTGGCTTCCAATGTCAGGAATGGATTCCGCAACAATGCTTTCGAGCGGCATAGGCAAATTCGCAAATTTTGTCCCAGGCAATATCGTATGATCCAGATACATGATGACTAGGAATATCCTTTGTTCCCCAGCATGGAATTCAAACACATTGAGCAATTTTTGGCGAGCTTTTTCATGACCCTGAGTTCAATCCACCCAGCGTCCGCCGCTCGAGGTATCCTTTAATTGGCCTAAACGATATCTAACGAGGCCTGAGGCACACTGCCGATCACCAAAGCAGTGGTACGGAAGACCGTTGTCCCGGAGATCACTCCTGTGATTTTTCGCATTATTCTTGAATGTTGGTTGCAAGAAGATGGCCTTCCACCAGGCTGGCTGGCTGCATTTATTGACCAAGCCTGGCAAGATATGCAATAGATCTCAGGCACTTAGACCGATTTGTCTTCAACGCCTATGCAATAGATCTCAGGCACTTAGACCGATTGGTCTTCAACACCCTGTCAATAAAGTGGTTTCGGACATCCTCATTACTCAGGCGATGAGTCATGTTTTTTATGTTTTTTCCACCTTGCGCACTTTGCCCTTCTATGCATACTTGCCGGCGCGTAGCACCACTGATTATCTTCTTATAATCTCTCATCATTGTCGCCAATAGGGTATGCCATATGGCCCGCAGATCAACGCCACGAAAAGTGTGGCCTTGTGCCGGGTGATTAATTGGACGTTCGGCGCTAGCATTCCTGAAGAAACGGGTCCGCCGCAATAACTCTGGCCCCAGGCTCCTCCTCCTAGACCTAGACTGGTAGATTCCGCTGGTCGCCAAAATAAGCTACTTGGGTATGAATGTCAACTATCGAACTTGGGAAATTGATACAGTGCACCGCAGAGTCACAGCGGCGAATCATTGTTTTTCGATCTTGAGACGATGGTTTATAGCCTCATAGTCCCCATTATTCCATTACATTTTAGATTCAAATTGCATCAACAATGCATCATCCCGATATTGCTTTACGGTATTTTTGAAATGGGGGTCACAATCCAATGCTTTCGTAAACTCATTAGTATCATTAATACATTATAGGCGAATCTATAGATCACCGGTTCATCTTATTTATGAATCAATCAAGGATTTCTTTGCCAGAAATATTTTAAATCCTCTATGCATTCAATTGCAGAACCATCGCCAGCGTCTTGAAATAGTTTTGCACACCCGTCGCAGCTCTCTGCGGGATTCTGCCATGGCCAACCAGAGCCAAGATATTTGCGTTCTGACCCTGGGTTACCCTGCATCAGACACCACCACACCAATAGATGCATGCATATCACCTGCTTAGGACAACACACTGGCATGTCCTGAATGCCACCGAATTTTTCGACAGGCGGGCATTTTGAAACAACATTTGAGACAAGTCCATGGGTTTGAATGTGCCAAAGAAGATGCATACATGCCCCTTCGCGATTCATTCAATGGCACGAGCACGTGTTGACATTGCACGCACTCCTTTGCAAATATGTATATTCTCAAAGATTATACCAAAAAATATGCCTGTGAATTGTTTAATGCTGCTCAGGGCTCCGTGATACCAATCTCTGCTCGTGTTGAGATTCGGATGCATCTTCGACACCAATCCTTCCAAGGGCTTCTTCTAGATCAGGGATTGTGTATTGAGTTGTCGAAGCACTGTGCCTTTCCCACACCAAGATTGCTGTCAAAACCATGAGCAGATACTATGCAAATACATATCCCTCAGCACTTGGACGACCAAACCAGGAATGATTGAGGTGGGCAACGAATTTTGGATCAGGGCCAGGCGTTTGTCCATTCTGCCAAGTTCGTACCCAGAGAGTGCAATTACATCAATGCGCGCGTGACCTTTCAGCTTGCCATCATGAGTGGACGCATCATGCAGCTCGACCATTATCTAGTCATGCCCATCAATAAGAGGCCATGGTCCACTGCTTTCCCGGGCACCGACCACCCAGAGGTGCATTATCCGGCCTTGGACATTGACCCAGCCACACCGCCTTGACGCCCCAAACCGATTGAGATACGACCGAAGCCGGACCAGATGACTGCCACAGCTTTGCACCGATGTCCCAAACGTGGACGCCCATCACAGACCCCCGGACCTAATAGCCTTGCCCGGATTTTGAAGATACCATGCATCGGTTCCATTCCTGCACGCAAAATTACGTATGATTGTCCATTGCGCCACGAAATTGTTGGCCGCAAGGCCCTTGCCTCCTATCTCAGGTTTTGCCATGATTTTGACAGGCCAACCGAAATGAACTTCGTGCCAACCAGAGATGTCATGCCCGGGCGCTTGACCTGTGCTCACTATCGTGCCACCTTTAGAATGGAGTTAGTTTTGAGGAATCACTTTAAGCGCTCGTCCTGTCCGGTTCGCCTCTGCAACATGGTCAGGGATCTTCATTTTGGGTTACGACTATAATGGACATTGATCCCAGTGACGCCAAAGCCGCCAAAACATCGACCACCTGTCCGCCACTGTGGTGTTGTGCTCTCATAGATCCCCATCCAGATATCTATATGATAGTCACATTGATAACCTGGACTGCTGACACCTGCACTCCCTTACCCACGATTGCCATTAACCTTTGACCCGTCCGGAGACTAGATTGCAATGGTTCGTACACACCATCACATGGATCATCCATTAGCCGGACCTGCCGCAAGCATGTCTCCCGATGAATTGGATTTATTGGTTCCTGCAGCACGTCAACCCACACCTTCCTATCGTTTGGGCCTGGCACGCAACTGAACCGAAGCAGTATGTTTTCAGTCATGAGCACTGTATCATCTTGAGCATTGGCCCAAGGCCACTTTTTGGACCCGACTTTGATCTTTCGAGATGCCCCGAACGTATGCATCCTAACGATCAGAGCTTCTCCGAATTGATGAACATGGGGAACACTTTGGCAAATATCCTCCCACGGACGATTCCCCACCATCCAGAAGACCATCTGGACACCATCATTCTAACAGATCCTCCAGCTCCTCGGATTCGTCGTCGCAAGACGAAAACTAATGCGGATGTTGATTCGACTCTGCCTCAGACAGGAAGAACAGTTGAATCAGATGGCATTCGATCGCTCGTTCGTGATGTTCCTGCAATGCGGAAAAGACAACGTGATGTCCTTGATGCTCTAGACTTCCGAGGACTGGCGCGCCAAACGCCGGCCGATAGCGTGAACCATCATGAGATCTTTTCTTTTCGAGACCTTATTGGAGGCATTGATTCGTCGTATCCAATTATCAAATCCTCACCAACACGAATCACTGGAATTTCATGAGCTGGGATCAAAAAGCTCAATGCTTATTCCCCAACAAGATGGATTCGT